GGCTTTTGCCTGAACGGGAACATCAAAGCATTTGCGCAAGAAGCACTGATTTTGGACAGTAGAACGTCAGTGCTTTTGCGCAAAATCAAGCGGCCAGTGTAGACAGCTGGCAAGTTTTTGCGCAAAAGCAGCCACTTTTGTGGAAAAACTTGCCAGTCCAGATGCAGCCATGCTCTGGAACAAGGAATCCACTCAGTACATAGCCACCAAAAGGAAGTGACCAAGCAAGCTACCCAAAGGGGCAGAGAACTGCTCTCCTCCTTGGCAAAATGAAAGCCCACCAGAAGTTAACTGCCTGGAGGAGTTAGGAGTACAGACACTAAGAGGAGGAGAAATGACCCCTACTGAGGAATACAGAAAAGGGAGCGGTAACTGTCCCCACAGTGAAGTTGTCAGCTGCATCCCAACTGCTCAGAGAAAATTAAAATATTTTTTCATCTTAGTCCAGAAAACAAACTGCTGCTCGAAGACTTGGATTGCTTCCGGCACCTACCTTATTTGTAACTTTCACATGCCTCTGCACTACCAGTCTCCAGCATCAGAGTGGCAGGAAAATGCAATAACAATAACCTACTTAACCAGCTGCAGGAGGTACTGGAAGTTCCACATGAGGCCTAATCTCACAAAGTTTCCAGCTGAGTTTCACAAAGCTCAAAAGATCATACAGTTCAAAAATGCATCTAAACTTTAGGCTGCTTATTCAGATCAAATGCCAAACCTTCTAAGGTAATTACAAAGTAACGGGGCTGCATGTTGCCCCTACTCCCAATTTTGTGAATCCTACAGAGAAATTTAGTGTATGTTCTCTTGAGGGCAGTTTTACAGTATTATCAGTATTGACAATGTTAAGTGTCTTACATTTTAGTTCTTTTTATTTGCAGTCTGCTGGTGGAGTTTGTTAGGATTCACATTTTCAAGCTATGGTCTGCAGCCATGAAGGCTAGAAGTTTACTATTTTAAAACAAAAGCTGGAATTTTTAGGTTAAACCCGACTCTAGAAGCTAGAACATTAAGAAAAACAAATACATGAAACTCACAATAAAACCATAGGAGTTGGCAATCTTAGATTTTGCTGTATTCTTCCCAACCGGGGGTGCTAACCCATCTTTGTTTGTATAGCAGCTGACCTAACTAAAATGCTCAGTATGTTCCTGATGGCAGACTGGATAAGATTCTAGCTACAAAACACAAAGAAAAACAGCAGCAGTAAAATCACACAAGGCAAGTGAACCCTCCTGGTTATTTTTGTCCTTAAGGATCTAGGGACCTGATGGAAATGGCAATCATCTGAAGGTAGCCCATCTCACTCTGTAGCTCTGGTAATCATCATCTGTCCCATTAGCGTGAAGAGCTTGTCAATTATACCAGCTACAGAGCACATAACAGCTCTGCACTCTACAGCTGAAGCAAACTGCCTGGCAAAGGGGGAAATGACAGAACTTCTTGTTCCTGTTGCATGGATGCATTAAGCCTGGAGGCCGAAGAGACAAAAGGCTGTATATTCTGGCACGGCTGCCTGCTAAAAGCTCTAATGAGGGAGAAGGACACTGAGGAGGGACCTGGGATTTCCTCAGTCTTTGATCCTACCTCTGGCACAGCTGGCTTTATATGTGGCCTAAACCTCTGTATAATATTAACCTTCTTTACAGAGGTGCAAGAAGCCAAATTCATGATGTATAAAATGTTTCTGAAGACGAAAGGTGCTGTTAAATATAATAACTAAAGAAATTGCAACTATCTACAAATGGTTAAAGCAAGTAAGTTTCTAGGAAGGACAGTAATTTATGGTGGTAAAAAGGAGGTAGCTAGTAGTGATGGGGAAAAAAATCAAGAGAAAGAAAATTTTAGAATAAATCTCAGGAAAAACTTCCTGATAATGAGATTTGGTAGGCCCTGTTTGATTCCCAAAGGAAGTGGAAGCCTCATTTCTTATGACCTTTAAAATACAAGTGCATGAAACACTAGAAAATACATTGGCTTGTGCTGGTGGAGAATGGATTAGATGTGACCTAATGTCCGTTCCAGCTCTACATATCAGTCTGATTATAAGCATGTGATTTCCTGGATAGTAAGTACTTTTTATATTAGATTTTCTACTAGCCTTGAATTAAATGAGTGTGTGGCTTTATATATTTTCTGAGTTTCCTAGCAGTCTGAGACTCACCCCTGGATAAACTTTAGTCTGTGTCTGTTTTATGAGACCAACAAAAAAGACCCTTCTCAGACAGAGAACATCATAGGATGCTGTACAACTAAAGATGATAAGACTAACTGTAACTTAAGCACAGTTAATGACATAGGCTTGGCTCTATCAAATCTACAAGCCCCTGGGAAGCAATTTAATTTGACCCCTCAACATGACTCATCTTGAGTTGGTATGATTACTGCTTGATCCTGTTCTACACATAAAACCTGGGTGCCCACAGGTCTGATTTCCTTTTGAGGATTTTCTACTGAAGTTGCCTGATCTTTAACCCTTGCTCTTAAAGCATCAGAGCACAACCAGGAGCTAGTTTAGAAACTGGGAACTGTCAGAACACCCACGGTGAACTGCACAGTGGAAAAATTCAATGAAAAAGTATGGTGGTACCGAAGGAACACTGTTCCCTAGTCTTGATATTTGCCTCCTGTGCTCAGATCCCCTTCAACACTAGGATTGAGGACTAACACAAAACTTGTTTTCCCAGAAAAAATACAGTAAGTTACATAAAAAGGTCTGTAACTGCAGAGAAATGAATGAGAAAGCCTTTTGTCAATTGAATTTTTGACTATTGTAATAATCTCCATGTCCTATGCCCTAATTAATCACAATAGATAATACTTTTATTTTCTATGACAACTTTTATCTGAAGCTCTTGGTGTACTTTAAAAACTCTATGACTTTTTATATTGTAAAATGTCAATTCAGTCTTGTGTCACATCTGAAATCTAGGGAAGTACTATTCCCTCCATTTTTCATTAATGGAAACGGGGGAGGGGATGGGGGAAGGTCAAGGACCTTGTCCAAAGTCATGCTGCAGGTCATCGGCAGGGTTTGGAATAGAACCCTGGAGTCCTGACCCATATCTCTGTAGTCCCACCATCAGACCTTGCTCCCGCCATTCACTAGGTACAAGATGGGCAGACGGGGAGGTGCAATGAAAAGCACAAGAATTTCTTAATTATATGGTATGAATTTCTTTTGCTTAAACAAGGTTTCTTGTGGCTGCTGCTTCTTGTGCCAAAAATCTTTGACAGCAAACGTGAGATTGCAAGATCCAGATGCGATAGAAGGAACACTGGGGTCTAAAATAAAGGACATTCCTGCAAAGAGGCTGCTGAGATGTATAGCTACAGCTACCCCCATGAAGCCTGAAGTTTCAGCTCCATGAGTTAGTTCCTCCTTCTGTGCCTAATTTTGTAACCGTTTGAATCATGCCTCAAAATGATGACAGCCCTCTTGAAGTTTACTGCCTTCTCCAATGCAGGAGAAGAGGCTCAAAAATGAACTACACACCACACCCCTCCCCCATATACACATGCTCTTCTCCCCCCCCCTTCCAACTTTAGAATAAACTCTGTTCAAGAAGTTCCAAGGGGCACTGAGGGGGCTATTTGTCTTTTAATACAGCAAACTGACATTATTACCTGCTCCTAGTAAAGGTGGAGCTAATTCAATCTGAACTGCTGGGGTAAGTAAGTCAGCAAAGCAACGCGCGGCTACTGAAATAATTTTTACCTCCATATTCTGCAAGTGAAGGGTTTCCTCAGGTCAGTTGTTCTTCCCCACCCTTTTCTCCCTTAGCTGTGGAAAGTTTCTGTCCAGCCAGAGTGAGAACACACTGCTAAGGAGCGTATAATATAATATCCAAGCCCCAGCTCAGTTTGAGAACTGACAGAGCCTAGTGAGTGTCCCTGCACTAGAGAACAAGGAAGAAGGGAGGGTGGTGGAGAGGAAGGGAGGGTGGGGAGTGAAGGGGGAGGCAAAGCCAATCAGGGTTTAAATTTAGACACAAATCTAAACAGATACTGTCCTTTCCCAGAGTGCAGGGCTCAAGAGAAAGCAAGCAGCAAACTCTGCTGTTCTGCCTAAACATGGGAACACAAAGTGTGCATTTTCTCTATAGCTCTCCCTTTCTCTTCTGTCTATACTCCCACTATATTTCTTGTCTTTCTTATTCTTCTCCCGATATCTGTATTCTTTCCCTCCTCTATTTGCCACTGTTCACCCCCTTGGGTCTGCAGTCTCTTCCTTCTTGATGTATTTGTGGTTCCTTTCCTTTTGCTGCCGCCATACCTTGTCTTTTTCTTCTGCTCTCTCAACCTCTGACCTTTTTAACTTATAGCTGAGTGAGGAGATTTTAATTGACACTTGGTATGGACCTGGGGAACATAAGATGAGCAGATATCAGTTCATTATTATATTCGTAGGGATGAAGACTTCATAGTGTTTGGTGCTCTACAAATACAGAATAAAATGATGGTCTCCACTGGAGATGTAAAATGCTAAGTGTGAAACTTTTCCCTCTTCCAGTCTTTTTTTCTTTCACCACTTAGAGGTGCTAATTCAGGATATTGCTTTTCTCGGTAAAAACTTGAGCACTGACAAAAAAAGCTACAATTGTGGTGGTAAAGCTCATTTTTTATTTTTGGTAGATGATAGGATTCAGTGAGGAAGAACTAAACTACTCGAGCATTTTGCTAAGGTCTCACTTTCCATTCAAATCCCACAAAGGTCAACTGATCAAATTATCATCATGCCTGCGTTAGCAGCCATCTTGCAGATGTTCCTCTCCACCTACAGAGAGCAATGTAGAGGATCAGATCCCCACCTATAGGGAGAACTGCAGAAGACTTGGACATTTTTTTTTCAATTTCAGGGTCTTCATGCCCCAGCACTGGGAAGTGACTCAACCCACTCTATAGTCCTGTTTCAGAACTCTGCCTCAAGGACAGATGGAAAAGGATTTAAAAGTACTTTTTGAAAGCCAAGTTCATGATAGAAACTTGACCCTCCTCACAGTTGTAGTGCTGTTAGTCTCCTAAATGCCATCAGAGCATAACTATAGTGTCTACAGCATATTTATGTCTTGCCCAATTAAAGTAACTGCTTTGTGTACAAGCTAGGGATGTGAAGGACTAGTTGACTAGTTGCCTATCCAATAAGCAAATGCTTATCAGATAGTCGACAGGATAATTGACTAATTGCTTCCCCTCCACCCTTGCTGCTTCTATCAGATAGAGACAGCAGAGGGAGGGGGAGAATAAGAGGATACTTCAAAGTGGCAGCACCACATGGGCTCTATGTGGCGCTGCTACTTTGAAATGCTGGGTAGAGCCCAGGATCAGATGGGGAGTCCCCAGCTGACCCCCGGCTCCATGTGGTGCTGCCACTTTGAAATGCTGCAGGGAGCCTGGCATCAGGCTCCTCACAGCATTTCAAAGCAGCAGCGCTTCTTGGAGCCCGGGGTCAGCTGAGGAGTCCCCATCTGATCCCCGGCTTTGGTGCTTTCGCCTTTGAAGTGTAGCAACAGCCCTACTTCAAAGACAGAGACACGCTATTGACTAATTGAATAGTTGATGCAAAAGTGGATTGACTATTCGATTAGTGAAATTACCCAATACTTCAAATACTTAGTACAAACCCTCTTACTGCTCAGCAGGTCCCAGAATAAAAGACTTAAGTCATGGTATTTTTACTTCTTAATTACAATATTGAAGAGCACTAGACTACTCTGAGACTCATAATATGTCTACGTTGCAAAGTAAACCCAGGGCTTGTACTCAAGGTCAAACCTAATACTCCTTCCATCCATCCATGGATTGTGCTAAGCCAGGGTTCCAACCCATTGTCCCAGGGCTCCAAGCCTGAATCAAGTCAAGACCCTATTGCTTTGCAGTATAGATGCCATGTAGACAGTCTTCAAGTCATAACACTGTCAGTATGTGATAATACATGCACTGATGAAGTAGAAAGATGCAGGACCAGAACCTGGGGAGTGCCTGGTAAACAGCTGAGCCAGGAATGAGGGTGCACAAAAAACAGCCCCAGCTTGCATTGTACATTCTTTGGGCAAGCATCTGCCTTACAGTTATTCCAACACCATTATTTGATCCTGGTACAAATTAAAAAAAAGCAGCCCTATTTTTCCATTGTCACTTCAGATAGCAACATGCCTACAGATATTAGTATCTTAAATTCTAGATATACAAATAATACTTAAGTATTTTACATCAGTAGATCACAAAGCACATTACAAAGGAGGGAAGTATCATTCACATGCAAACAGACATCACTGCAATAACACACCCAAACTCTATAGCCATCCACTAACAATTAAAAATGCAGGGGGAATTGGTACCATGTGCAAAATGAATTGGCAACATCTAGTCACTAGGTAGTTAACAATGTGACGAGGCTGGGGGTATTACCTAGTTCCTGACAAATAAGAGGTTAACTCCCGCTCTGTTTCTCCTTCCTTTGTGCAGGTGGTATGGGGGAAGTGCTAAAACAGAGACTGTTTGGAAGTCAATGAGGAGAAAGCCCACAGAAAGGTATGTCTCCAATCACAGAAGGAATAGAACTGGGTTGCATCACATGTTTTCTGATTATTTTAATGTATTCTAGTGTTTGTCTACACTTACTGGATATCGGAACTTGGACAGTTGATCCACGGGGGGTTGATTTAGCGGGTCCAGTGAAGATCTGCTCCATCAGGGGTGGGCAAACTTTTTGGCCTGAGAGCCACATCTGGGTATGGAAATTGTATGGTGGGTCATGAATTCTTGTAGGCTCTGGCCCTGCTTTCTGGTGGAAACACAAGAGCAGGGCTAGCTCCCGACCCTGCTCCCCAGTAGGCGATCTGGATGACCACAGCAGGGCAATCCCACAACCTTGCTCCCCAGCACTTCTCCCTGGCTGAAACACTGGAACAAGCAACCCCCCAACCCTGCTCCCCAGCAGAAGTGGGGCAATGGAACTCAAGGGCCCAATTAAAAGGTTTGATGGGTTGGACACGGCCCGTGGGCCATAGTTCATCCAACCCTGAGCTAAATTGACTGCAGAACACTCTCTCCTCGACTCCACTACTCCATCAGAATGACAAGCATAAGGTAAGTCTATGGGAAAGTTTCTTTCTGTCAATCCAGTGTGCAGCAGACACCACAATAAGTCAACATAAGCTTAAGTCATAGCTGGAGTTGTGTAACTTAGGTTGACTTAGCCCGGTAGTGTAGACCAGGCCTTAGTTTCTTCATGCAAATACTGCTTCTGTCTTTCCAGAGTAAATGCAGGAGGAAGTGACACTACTGACTGAAGCTGGCCATTTGCTGCTGAATCACTGCATTAATTCATACCTGCACATCACAACAAACCAATAATGCTATACCTGGAAGTCTCAGCAAAGAGACTAAGGCTTTGTCTACACTTAAAAGTTTAAAGCGCAGCTGTGGCAGCACTTTAAACTGAAAGTGGGGCCACAGCATGAGCACTGGGAGAGAGCTCTCCTAGTGCTCTATGTAAACCACCTTTGCAAGAGGAGTAGCTAGAAGTGCTTGGAGAGTGGCTCCCAGTTCTGTAGAATGGTTCACACCAGCACTTCACACCACTGTAACTTGCTGCACTCAATAGGGTGTTTTTTCACACCCCTGAGTCAGAAAGTTACAGTGCTGTAAAGTGCCAGTGTAGACTTAGCCTAAGAAGGCTCCCCTCTTATGCCTAAATGATCCCTGCAGATGAGGATTAAGTTACCACTGATGGAGGAATGTAGCGGGGCTCTTTGGCTGTTCTTGCTGTACCCATTCTGGTGACAGCAAGAAGACTTAATCCTCCAGGGATTTCAGTATCACATTGTTTGCTTGGATTTGTTACTGAGTTGTCTGGCCAGTAACAAGCCTTCAAAAACCACACTTCTTACCTGAATCGAATGATTGCTTCATCTCACTGAGGCTCTATTTCAGAGTTATTATTTTCTGGTGTGAGGAGGTTGTGTATTGCAAGAATGTGGTTTTTTCTTCTCCACAAAACAGAGAGCGGAAGTTGCCAGCTGAGGTCTATGAAAAAGGAAACTGTTAGGCAAAGATAGTATCACTTGAACTGTATTTTCAAGTTGAAGGTAGCTGCAGCTGCCCAGCATCAAGTCTTTACTTTGTTTGCATTCTGTAGTTACCCCTGCAACTATCACTCCACAAAGCAAATAAGCCCTTCTCCAATTGTCCTACAAACAGGATTCCAAACAGCAGTTTAAATGAGCATAGTCTAGCACAGGGGGTGACAGGTGAGAGGGGATATGAGACACTACTGGCCACATGACCCCTCCTCTGAGCCTGGGGAATGGCTGCTCCATCCTCCTCTCCTCTTCTTCCCCACCCTTGCTCTGCCCCACCTCAGCTCCCAACCGATGCAGCTTGGGGGACTATTCGGGCCAGTGCCAGTAGTGGGGTCTGACCTCCCCCAGCACCAGTGGGAGAAGCAGAGCAATGTGGCCCTGGCTCACTTTGCTTCTGCGGGCACATTGCTCCGCTTTCTGTCAGTGAGTACAGGACAGCCCCACCCCTCCCCAGGTGATGCGCTGGGAGAGCAGAGGAAAGTGGGTCCACGTTGCTCTGTTTTCCCCACCACTGCCAGCAAGTGGGGGGAAGATGCCCAGGAACTCTGGCGTTGCCGGCTATTGGCCTGCCTCTTTCCTCTCCCACCCACAGTGTCTGAGCTGGGCATGTGCCCTCTCTATGCGTCGCCCATGGCCCAGCATTTTCATATCACAAAGAGAACCTATTCTTGAAGAAGCAAAATGTGAACATGTAGAATCCTGTGGACACGGAAATCTTAAGACTGGAAAATGTGAAGTATGTTCTAGAATCCCTTGTGTAAATGGAGGTCTCTGGTTTGAAAACTACTAGAAATCCTGAGCCAAACTAGCCATGCTTTTTAATTCTTTGCAATCTTTTGG